CCTCGCTCCCTGCGAGGGGGGCCGGGCCTGGAGTGTGGGTAGGAAGATGTCTGTGGTGACGAGGGCCTGGCTGGAGGCCAGCGGAGCTGGGGGGACAAGTCCGGCCCAGGGAGGACAGGGACAGCGAACAGGACTCGTGGGTGAGGCACATGGAGCTGTTGCGTGGACGGGCCATCGTGTGGCCTTCTAGGCTTTGTCCAGCAGAGCCCACGGGCCCTCTGGGAGGTGGACTCGACGCTCAGCCGCCCCGGCGGCCCTGTGCCTGCCAGCCCAGCAGCCGGTGGGCAGCCGCTCACGGCCTGTGTCTCATCCCCAGGTGCTGGAGGACACGTGCCGGCGGCAGGACTTCAACCCCAGCGAGTACGACCTGAAGTGAGTTTGCCGGGGCGGCTCCTGTGCGTCCACGCGGCGCGCTCCCCAGGGCCCTGCTGCGGGCTTACGCCTCCGGCAGGTCATCCCACAGCCCCGGAGGCCACCCCGTCCAGGTGGTGTGGGGCTGCGGCGTAGGGGAGGACCCTGCCTGCTGCCCCAGGCCTCCCCTGGCTTGTGGCCACAGCACTCCAGTCTGCCTCCTCCTCACACTCCTCTCCCCTGGGTGTGAGCACCCGCCCTGGTTCAGGATGAGGGCGTGATCTCAAGATCCTAACTCAGTTACGTCTGCAAAGTTCCTATTTCCAAATACGGTCACAGTCATGCGCTCTGGGGCCTTAGGCCATGGGGCCTGTCCTCGTAGGGGCCACCATTCAACCCGTGGCCACAGGGTTTCCGTGCGTTCCTGGTGGGGCTCTGAGGGCACGAGGAAGTGGTCCCGGAGAAATGGGAAGAAAGCTGCGCCCTGGGGAGAAGCCCGCGGCCTCACCCGGGAGCTGGCGCAGGTCTCTGCCTGTGGGCGTTTTCCAGAGAGAGGGCATTCACAGTCCTCAAGGGTCTGAGACAGGACAGAGCCCGGCCGGCGTGGCTCCGTGGTTGAGCATTGACCTATGGGCTCAGGAGGTTATGGTTTGATTCCCGGTCAGGGCACACACCCGGGTTACAGGCTCGATCCCCAGTGGGGGCACGTGCAGGAGGCAGCTGATCGATGAGTCTTTCTCATCATTGATGTTTCTCCCTCTTCCTTCTTCTCTGAAATCAATAAAAATATACTTTAAAAATAATAATAATACAAGGACAGGATGCGAGCCTGCCCTGATGGGTGTGGGCTTCTGTCCCACAGAAGGGGCACGTCCCAGGTGGCAGGTCTGACCCAGGTGGCAGGTCTTCACAGGGTCTCGTCCTCGCTCTGGGGACAGAGGAGCCCGGGGCGTGGGAGCCTGTTCTCGTGGGCCTCGCCGGTGCTGTGTCGTGCGTGGGGCTCTTTACAGAGGAGATTCTGAGTGGAGACGCCCTCATGCCACCCCAGCTCCCGGCCTCCTGCCTGACCCACAAGAATCCAGGGCCCCTGCTCCGCGCTGGGTCACCCCCTGGCTTCCTGTCACAGGGCCGCGTGCCGCTCCTCCCTTCGCCTGCCTGAACCCTCGGCTGGGGCCCGGGTGGAGCCGCCGGAAGGTCGGGTCTCTTACCCATCTCTCGCCTGCTGACGGCGCAGCTGCCCCTTGAGAAACGGGGGTTTGAACTGCACGTGGGGTCTACTTCCACGTGGATGTTTTCCTTTTTCTAATTTCTTAGAAAAACATCGTCATCGTTGGAAGTATTAACATGTCCCCTTTGACTCTGGTGGCCTGCCCGCCCCAGGCCTCCGCACCCTATTGTCTGTGCCCATTGCTTTTCTCTTTTTATTTAATAATTTCATAGCGAGAGGGAGGGGGAGCATGGAGTTGCTCTACTTGCTTGTGCAGCGTTGGTTGGTTCTTGGCTGTGCCTGGCCTGGGGCGGAGCCCCAGCCTCGGTGCCTCAGGCCCTCTCGCCAACTAGCCGCCGGCCAGGGGCAGCCGCTCCCCTGGCGCTGCGGACAGCTGACTGCGTGGATTGAGCCGCTTCATAGAAGGGTCTGGAGCATCTTCGAGTTTTGGTGTCAGAGGGGGTTCTGGACCCAATCCCCGTTGGGTGTAGAGGGACCTAGTTCAGTGTTGGAGGCTCACCGTTTATACCTGGGATTTTCGACCGGCCGGCACCCCTCACGCCTTTGTTCAAGGGTCAGCTGTCATTGGTTGAGACAGCGCAGCCACGCCAGGGGAGGCGGCCTCGGTGTGTTGCCTGCCTGCACCTTCCCCTCTGCTGCCCTCGTTTCCCCACAGACCAGCCGTCGGTCTGCACTAGGCCCTGGAGCTGTGTGAGCCCGGCCTGGCTATCAAAACGGCCTCTTTCTCCTCAAGTCGCCTGCGCCCTATGAACTGCTCATGCTCATAAGACGACGTCGTCTCCATCTCCACGGGCCTCTCCCCAGCGCCATGGTCCCCCCTAAACTCCCATTGGAAGTCGAGCTCAGATCTGACTTGAGCTGTGCATGTCCCCTTGTTCCCTCTTCTTGTGACTTGCTGTCTCTCTTCAGAGTCCGGGCCACATGGTGAGGAGGGCTCAGAGCCCTGGGCAGAGCTTTCCTCTGGAGGGCACAGGGTGGTTCTCGGGGCTTAGGAGGAGAGGGACCAGGTCAGGAGGCCCTGGTCCCCTCGCCCGCCGTCCCTGCCCATGGGTGGGGCTGTGTCCTGTCTGTCTCCTCATCACAGGAGCAGGTGTCCAGCTCCTGTTGGTTCACAGCCGACGTGGTCCAAGCTGGACATCAGGAGCCGCCTGTGGTCCCAGCTCTGCCCCTGGGTGGCCGGGCTACCTGCTGGCTCTTCTCACTGTTCCTTGTGAAACAGGCTGAGCGGGCGGGCGCGCAGGCTGCTAAGCAGGACCCGCAGGCAGGGCCCGGGGTCCTCCTGCCCTCGGGGTTTCCTGTCCTGACTCCTCCAGTCTCTGCCTCTGGCGGGGACCCAGGAGCTCGGTGGGTGGGGATCGGAGGAGCTGGGCCACCTGCTGTCGGGGCCCCACGCGGGCCTCTCCCTGATCAGAGCTGCCAGGTCCCTGTGCACACGCACACGTGGGGTGCTCAGGCTCAGGCCTGGCTGCGAGCTGGGAGGAGCGGTCGCAGACCAGACCCCAGCACCGGCGGCCTGGCTCCCTGCGCTTGTCTGTGGTCCTCTAGACCCGTTGCCTCTGGTCCTGGAGGGCGTGGCCCTGCCTCCGGATGTCAGGAAGCAGGAGTGATGGGAGCTGGCCCCTGGGAGAGGGAATGCAGTGGCCGGACCACCTGGGGTGCAGCTCTGCCTCCCACGCTCAGAGCTGTGTCAGCTCGCTTGCTCTGTCCCTGGAAAGACCCACTGTAGCAGGGACACGCCTCCTCCCCAGGCCACATCCCGTCCTCCAGGTGCGGGCCTGGCGGACGCTGCAGAGGCTGCGGAGTGAGGCGCGCGGGCAGCTGGGCTGTGTCTGTGTTGCAGGTTTCAGAGGAGTGTGCTTGACCTCTCTCTGCAGTGGAGGTTTGCCAACCTGCCCAATAACGCCAAGCTGGAGATGGTGCCCGCGTCCCGCAGCCGCGAGGGGCCCAAGAACACGGTAGGCACCGCGCCTGCCCTCCTCGTAGGCTGTGGCCTTCGGGCGCACAAGCCGCCGGGCGAGTCCCCACCCCAGCCGCCGGCTCGGTCCGGCAGAGCCCCTTTCTACTCTGGTGGTTGGAATGAGACTTGGTTCTTGGTGCTGCGGTTGCTGTTGGGGTTCACGGTACTGCATTCATCTCACCTGCAAGCCTGGCCCCTGCCTGGCGGCCTGGTCCTGCCGTGGCGAGTGCCGAGCTCAGCGAGGCTCCTCGAGGGGGAGCGACCCGCCGTCTTCTGTCCTGGTCTTGGGCCCAGCCTCCCACCCAGCAGCTGTGAGGCTCAGAGCCAGGGGAGCCAGCCCCAGGGAGCCCCCTCTGGGTCCCCCTTCCTGGGCCGCGCTGCTCTGCCAGCACCAGGAGGGGCCGTGCTGGCTCTTGAGGACAGGAAGCGCCGGCCGGGGCCTGGGTCAGCTCTCCAGAGCCGCCAGGAGTCAGACACGGGACTGACCCTGACACCCCGCGACCATCGCGACCACAGCAGTTCTCAGACTTCTGTGTGGAAGGAGCTCTGACCTCCCTCGGTGGGTGGGATGGGAGGCACGTTTCCCACGGCAGCTCCCCGTGTTGGGAGGAAGTGATACCTGAACCAGAGGCCCGGGTCCCAGACAGCAGGCCACCCGGTGGGCGGGCTCTGAGTCGCACGCAGCCCGGGCCAGCGCTCCTGCGCGTCCTTGGCAGAGGGGCCAGAACGGCGTTTCCCCCCTTTGGGTCAGAGACTTACGTCCCACTCCAGGGACATGGTTATCACAAATGGACGGACAAAAGCAACGTACCCAGTAACGAAAAATGCACAGAACACGACTTGTTGGTGCTATGGCTGCGCAACACAGTGCCCCAAGCCCGGCAGCTCGAGGCCAGTGACGTGCAGCGTGCAGAGGAGACGGTGCTGGCCGTGCAGTGCCCCACCCCCCGCACCCCAA